GAGATACGTGAGAAAATTAGCCATCTGACGGAAGAGATGCGACAACTAGACGCTGACATGGAGGAACATCAAGGTGCTGTTTTCTCTAAATATGAAAATACATTAATTTAATTGGGATGATCTGTGCTGATTTAGAGAGAAAGGAATGGTGAAGGGGACAATAGTAGACAACAAGCCTGATTCAAGCTCTGCTGTTTTCAGTTACTACACTTATATCTGTATCTAATTTATGTCTCAAAAAATAGTCACGCATTGTATGTTGCATTTCAATGAAATATTGTTCATTTTAAACCTAAAATTAATATTCGACCACAAATATTTGATCAACATGAATATATTTGTCAGAATTGTTTTGCACTTTCTTCAGTGGTTGAGGTTTGTGCACATGGTCAGTGAAGCTTTGAAGTTTAATGGCAAGCTGTAAAATGAATGTTTTGATTATGTACATAAAAACCCTGCCTGCACCAATCAGTGCATGGAAATTAAAACGCATCTAATATGATCAGTGAAGCTGTGCGCTGGACGTTCGGTGTCTGCTGCTGTTTCAATTCACAGACTGCTAGGGTCAGGACTCGATCAGACTGATGGGACTGATTTTCCTGGCTCTGGTTAGAACTCTGTACTGATGGAGCTTTCAGCCATAAGTGCATTATAATAATATTTATTTTTAATGTGTCTTTAGTGGAATGAATATTGCTATGACTGTGCTGATACTCAGAACAAAAATAATAAAATAAGTTTATTACTATTTAATAATAATAATAATAATTATGATTCTTCCTTCTTATTACCTCAGCATGATTGGGGCAGACCGAAGGAGCCTGCCTCCCAGTTTGTGTACACTTATGCACTCTTCTATACGGTTTTTAGTATAAATCAGGGGTTCTCAGCTCTGGCCCTCAAGGTCTATTTTCCTGCAGAGTTTCTCAAATCTTGATCTAACACACCTGAACAAGCTAATCCAGTCCTTCAGGAGTACTAGAAAGTTACAGGCAGGTGAGTTTGATCAAGATTTGAGGAGAACTCTGCAGGAAAGTGGACCTCGAGGGCCAGAGTTGAGAAGCCCTGGTATAAATGGTGTGATTTATAGTGTGAATAAATAGTGTGGTTTATAGTGTGATTTATTTAAATCCACAGGGGAACGAACCCAAAAGTACAAGGAGCTGCAGAAGAGAGAAGAGGAAATCGACTGTGAGTCTTTGTCACTTTCACACAATGCTGAATGTAAACGTTGCATTAAAACTCTATTACATTCAAATGTATGAAATATCTCTAAATAATTTTCAAGTAATTAAAACATTAAATAAATGCTTTTTATGTTCTTTTTTTTATCAAATTCACTTGTTTTTTACTTTTCAATGCACAAATAAAACAAAAATGTTAAAGCAAAATAAGAAATGAAGATATGCTTTAATGGCATTTTTTTCTTTCTTCATTTTTGTAAGAAATGATGGGCCAAATCAAAGGTCATCCAGGGCCAACCTCAAGTCTAAACAATCCTCCCGTGTGTTTATCATCTGATTGATGAGCTGATCATGTGTGTTCTTACAGCATATCTGAACACGTTTGAGGAGAATACATCTCAGGAGCAGCAGCTGATCAGAGACGCACAGAGCAGCATCGTGGTGTTACTGGAGCACTCCAGCAGGGTACGGCTCATCTGACCTCACATCAGGCCAGACACTCTTCAACATAGCAGGCATTCACTTGTCTTTTTCATGCACTGTGGTTTTTCTCTCCAGAACATCAATCGTCTGCAGCAGCTGTCAGCAGTCACCGCTCAAGAGCTCCGGTCCATGCAGGAGGATCTGAGCTTCAAAGAGACGGAGATGCAGAAGTCTCAAAGCACAGCGAAAGGCCTTTCCTCAGGTTAGTCTCTCTCTATCTGTCTGCTCCAGCGCTGTCCGTCTCTCACGGCTGTCTGCGGGTGATCTCATGTCTGTGTAAGTCTGGCCTATATGAGGAACACAGTCAGATCAGTCTGTGTGAACAGCTGAAGATCCTCCTCCTCTCTTTCTCTCTCTGTCATTTATTAAGGTGTGAGCTGCTGGCCAGTGAAGGGCCTTTCCTTCTTTTGTATAAGACGTTCTCCTCTAATTCCCAAACATGGTCTTATCTCCTCAAAGCCATCGAGAAACGCACCACACGGCTTCCTCTGAGTGTCTCTCTTCCTAGCAGTCAGGCATTGTTTGTCTCTATTTGATGATCTTGTATTATTTCATATTCACAGTCCAGCAGAAACAGATTTTGAAGACCTTTGCTGTGTGTGTGTGTGTGTGTTTGAGAGAGAGAGGGAGGCAATATTTGTGAGGAGGAAGAACTTCAACTGTTAGTCATAAAGCTGCACTACATTAATAAACATGCAGTGATCTGTATAATGACTGCTGCTCATGGAGAAATATTTCCAGTAATTCAAACCCTGCTTTCATCCCATAGGTTAAAGGAGCTGCGGAAATACATGAAGTGTGTGTGTGTGTGTGTCTGTGTGTGTGTGTGTGTACCCGTTTTTCTATTCTGGTAGGGACTTAAACCTGACTACACACAGACTCATGGGGACTCGTGTCACGGTAGGGACCTAAATTGATGTCCCCATGGGTAAACAAGCTAATAAATCACACAGAATGAAGTTTTTTGAAAATCTAAAAATGCACAGATTCCTGTGAGGG